TTTAGACATTTTAATGTGTAAATGTTTCACATTAGACCTTTAAGTCCCATTAAACTGCTCTTTGCAACAATGGCAGAGTAAAAAGTTACAGATAAAACCAAAACCAAGCTGAACATCTGCTCTAGATATAGTTCATACAGGTAATTCCACCTCCTCCACAATGATTTCTACACAGCCTTTATTAGAGACTGGCTTATATTTGTCTGTTTCTGCTTTGATAATCTGAATAAAGGCTTTTATTTAAGCACGTTAAGTAAGTACAGCGTGGAATAGCAACCATATCCTGTAACGTCTGGAGCTCAGATGGATCTTTTGGAGAGGAGCAGGAACAGCAGTCGGACGAGACGGAGACATCAATGATTCAGGTTTAATTACCTCCTAGTGCAGCAGCGTATCCCTCCACAGCGAAATATAAATACAGCAGCAGAGAAAACCGATGCAGATCGATCAATAGAAGCACTCGTCTGCTGAGATCTGCTCTTCATAAACGGTGTGACGGGAGTGTTACTGTACGGTAAAAATAGCGTCTGTGACTCACTCTGACAGACACAAATTCTTACAAATCCTGCTGAATATTTAATGCAGTCGGAGAGGCTGTAAAACATCTGACCGCCTCCTTTAGGCCCGTTTCTAACAAGTTTGGTGTAATTCTGTCTATATTAGTCTGTATGCACATATGTGTTTGCTGTATATGACTGCAGGGCAGCGCAGACAGACGGAGAGCACAGTGGGACGTCTCCCATCTGTTTACATTGTCTGTTAGGTGATGAAGCAGTTTGTAAATGTTGTGAATCCCACAGGGTGCGTTCAGGGGCCTGAAATTAACTGCAAAGTCAACCAGAGAGCAATCAATGCAACAAAAATCATGCATTAAAATAAACGGCACCCAGCTGGCTTTGAGGTTCCTGCTATCCCTCAACTAAATTAAATTAATTCACCTTTTAATACGTGTAATGGGGAGTAGGTACCAATACTTTAGTTGTTTATTCAGGTACCTTGTTGGGAACCACTGCTTTAGGGGGTTCTTGTGGTCCTTTAGGAGGTTCTGTTGGTCACTGAGTCTGTTAGGAGGGTTAGAGGTTCTTCAGTTGTTCTAATGAACTTGTGACTTGGTTCTTTTAGGTCACTCTAGTGGTCCTGTAGGGGGTCTAGAGTTTTATAGGAGGGTGTATAGGTCCTTCAGTTGTTCTAGTGATCACTGACTGGGCTCTAGTTTTGCTTTTAGGTAGGTCTAGTGGTCCTGTAGGAGGTTTTTTGTGATAACTGAGGAGGTTCTGGGGGTTCTAGAGGTCCTGTAGGTGGTTGTAGTGGTTGTGAGGAGGGTTTTAGGGTTTCTTTGGGAGGTTATAGTAGTCCTTTGAGTTTGAAGTGGGCCTTGTGGTCATTTAGGAGGTTCTAGTGGATGATTAGTTTGTTGTAGTGGTCAGTGAAATGGTTGTAGAGGTCCTTCAGTTGTTCTAGTGATCATTGAGGAGATTCTAGGGTTCCTTTAGCTAGCTTGTGGTCATTGAGGAGGTTCAATATGTCCTGTAAGACGGTCTTTATCATCATTAAGGAGGATCTAATGGTTTGTTAGTTGGTTACAGTGGTCATCAAAGGGGTTCTTCAGGAAGTTGTATTGGTCATTGAGGAGGTTTTAGAGGTCATTCTGTTGGTTCTAGTGGTTCTTTAGGAGGCTCTATAGGTCCTTTTTATGCAGTTTTTAGTTGTCACTGAGAGTTCTAGGAGTCTTTGAGGAGATTCACAGGGTACTGTAAGTGGTTTTAGTAGTCATTAAGGAGGTTATTGTGGTTGTTCAGGACGTTGTAAAGGTCATTTAGATGTTTTGAATGGTCATTGAGGAGGTTCAAGAGGTTCTGTAGTTGGTTTGGTGGTGGTGACCCTTGAGATTGTTAAGTTCTGGAAGTAGCTCTAGGAGTCATCAAGGAGGTTTGAGAGTTTCTTTGAGGGGTCCTTCAGGTGGTTTTAGTGGGCCTTAATATTTTAAGGGTTCTTTGGGTGGTTAAACTGCTTCAGGCAAACTGTTGGACAGCGCTCTCCACCACCATCACAACCTTTGACCGTGGCGTCTCAGTCCACACGGAGCGTTTATGTCCTTTAGTTCATCCTTTCATCCAGGTCACTGAAGCTTTGACACGCCATCAGTGAGCTCCCTCCTGGCGTTATATAACCGTCATGAAAAATACAACAGCCCGAACATAGCTCATGATATTCCTCCAGTGCCAGCAGAGATAGATTTTTGGGTGATTCAGCTCACTTTCATCAGATGATGAGTGATAGTGTGCCGGGCTTCATAACACAGTTGATGTATTTTTAAAATGGCATACGCGGCTATAAATAGAGCAGGACTTTATGAACGTCTCTGCAGAACTGTACTCTGCTTCACGCTGGAATAACAAGAACACTTAAGAGATGTTCAGGACCGCAGCCAAATATGAAACTTTTAAATTAAACTTTAAGACCAAATTAACAACCAAAATAAAGACAAAAAATAACGATATTGTCCAAACATGTCAGTGTTTTTACTAATATTAAATGCTGTATTTTATGTTTCATTTTACAGTCACAACTAATAATAAGATGATTAAAAGTTCTGTTTTTCCGTATTTAATTAAACATGTTTAAAGAAAATATTTCACTTTACATAAAAGTACCACAGTGTAAATCTTTACTTAAACTCTGAATCTTTACGAGAATTAAATCTTGACTAAGTAATAAAAAGATTAATTAGGACTTTTTAGATAAAAATATTATACTTTTAATTTTTATTTAACAATTTGAAACAATAGTAATAATAATATTTAATTGCTGCCTCTAGGAGGTCATTTTTTTCGCACATTTCACGGTACACAAATCCTAAACACTGGACCTTTTTAAGTAAAAGTACTTAGTTACATCCCAGCACATGTAGTCAGAGTAAAAGCTCAAATTGGACGTCTATAACAGATGAAACCAAAGTGCAAATTCTTCTTCGTGAGGACCATCCAACCACAGCTGTGCAGAAAGCAAGTAAGAGGACTTTGAGTTGAGGTGGACTGAGTTTCCTGTTCAGATGTGATGTTCAGTGACAGCTGCAGCTTTCTGGAAGCTTCTCCCGCTCCGTCTGCCAGCAGGTTGTGTTCACTGACTCACCTCTGTCCGAGAAGAACATCCGTTACACCAGATCTGACTGGACGGAGGCCAAAGGTCGTTTCCTCTCTGCAGCCAGAGCTCTGGTTGGCTGTCGGCCTGAACACAGAGCGGTTGTGTTGTTCACACTGATGATCAATGTGCTGTGGGTGTCTGCCAGGAGATTTTATCCAGTCTGAAGCCACATTTTTACCGTCCACTGTTTAGATCTTGGTCATTTTTAACTCCGGAATCTGGATTTATGTTAAGTTTTGATGTCAGAGTTTAAATCGGTCCAACAAAAATCCCATTTACATTTTATTAGATAGTAGCTAAAGGAAATAATTCAACTTCTAATTTAAAAAACATCCAGTTTGCAGTTTAATTTATAAGTTTAGGTTTCACTTTTGCATTTTAATATTGGCAGCCACAGACTTCCATATTTATATACTTATATACTGGTTAATACAGGACGTATGTTAGTTAGTTAAACGCTGTAAGGAAACGTTTCATTAAGGCGACCTTCGTTCACTGCTCAGGTGTTTTAAATGAAATAACAGCCCGAGCAGATGAAAGCCAACGAGGTTAAAGTCCAACACTAAACGAACTAAATTCAATTACTGCCTGTGAAATTAAATCAAATGTGAAACGTTTTCACTTCCATCACAGAGCCGATGTCCCTTCACAATAAACTTCCATTCAGCCAAAGTGAACTAAAATGTAAATCCCAGCTGTTTTTATTCTTCATGCTCGTTGTGTGTCGTCACTCTGAGCTGCTGTTAGCGAGTCTGATAAAATAAAGTTAATTAACCCCGACAGAGTCCAGCTAATCCTGATGAATCAAATCAAAGTCTGGTGATGACGTACAGTATGGATTAAAACATTTATTTAACGCCTACAGACTGTGTGCTATATATATATATATATATATATATATAAAGGTATATTTTGGCACAATTTGATAATTTAATGTAACTTTATGATGAAAACAACCTCCAATATTGACAAAAACTAATCAGAAAAGGTAAAAAAGAAATTAAAACCTATTTTTGTCCCAGAAACGCTAGAAAGAAATAAAACCTTTAACCTTAATCTAAGTGATAGAATGTTTTTAATTTCAGTTATTCATCAGGATTTGAGAATGAACCAAACAAATAAAAGGGGGGTGTCTCTGTTCTCTACAGGCCTGAGGGAAGCAGCTGCTCTAACAGGAAGTTTAACTAAATGCCATGTCATCCTCTGCCTGGTTGCCTGGCAACAGTTGCCGGGCGGCAGGCAGGTGCCTCGGCCTGCAGAAAAGGTAGCAGAGCACCCCGATGGGGGATGGAGGGCAGGTGGTCGACATCTGAAACGCAAACCATCGACCACGGCGCGGCTGCTTCCACGCCGTCTGATCGTTTTTTCACAATAAAAGAATGTGTGAACGTAATAACCCTGCAGTGTGTGTGTGTGTGTGTGTGTGTGTGTGTGTGTGTGTGTGTGTGTGTGTGTGTGTGTGTGTGTGTGTGTGTGTGTGAATAATTTATCAGCCGTTTTATTGGCCGTAAGGAGAGATTGCTTTAGATTTAAACAAAAGCCAGAGGAGAATAATGGAGTAATGAATTGTAATAAAACTGCCTGACCACGGAACGAACTGCAGCGACCTCACGCCGTTCATGGCGCTCGCGGGAGAAAACGTCATCCAGACAGTTTAATGTGTAACATCACACAACTCTCATAACACAGAATAAATAACGTTAATAAATAACTCTGCATCACATCCTGCCGTTAACAGTTACTGACTGTAAAATGGAGTTTAACGTTACTTTTTGTTTTTCTGCGACGATCCGACAAATGAAAAATGTGTCGACTGCAATAGCCGGTGTAATGTTTCCCTCTGTGTGTTTTTGCAGGTTGCTTTAAGGATGACCGCATCGTGTTCTGGACCTGGATGTTCTCCACGTACTTCATGGAGAAGTGGGCTCCTCGACAGGACGACATGCTGTTCTACGTCCGCAAGAAGCTCGCCTACGTCAGCGGCGACAACAGCGAGGGCAAAAAGGTGACAACTAGTTAATGTGACTGTATGTATGTATATGTGTCTCTTCTGTCTTTTAATCATCTTCAAACTGTGGTTGTCCTTTCAACGTAGATTAGCCTAGCATATAGCATATCTAAGTACAGGAAAGGAGGTGATTGGAGCACAGAGCAAAAAGGGGCGGGGCTTATGAAGAGTTAATTACAGTCAGTTTGTAACAAATTAAATTTATTGGACGTGATTTAGAAAGACACCTGTTTATATAATTGTACAGTCGCTGCTTTAAATCAGGTTTATTCATGTAATATTGGAGTTATTGTTATGTTTTAATTTGTGGGTAGAATCAACATAAAAGTAATTATGAAGCCCTGATAAATAGTTTATATACGACTGGTTCCAGGTTCACGGACAGTATATGTGGATGTATTGTACTCACAGCATCAGTTCTGTGTGTGCAAATAAATATTCAGACACAAAAAAAAACTTATTTACATTCGTAAATATTTTAAAATGTGTAAATAATGAAGTTTCATTGTCAGGGGACATTATTTTTAACCCTCACACAAACAAACCATCTGGAGTTGTTACAAACATCTTTCCCCCTCTTTCACCATCTCATCAGCAGGACGTCATTTTCATCTACGTGCTGTTGAAACGATGTGACCTGAGGAAGTGCGACCATCCGTATCCTCCGCCATCCAACTTCCATTTTTCTTTCTGCTTATTTGCACAGTCAGCAGCTTCTTTTCCTGCCAGTGTTTCTGTTCACTTCCTGTTCCATTAATGTGAAAATCAGCGCGTTTAAACTGAAAATGTTTTGAGTTAACGTTGGTTTAAAAACTCAAACTGCCATGCGTCGACTCGTTGTTTGAGACGTCGATCGGTTTCCTTTGTGAGGAGGTATTTCCCATCGCCTTCACACAAACACACAAACACACACACACATCCATGGTGTAACCATGGCGACCGTTCCTGTGCTCTAAATGGTTTGTGAGTGATATGAATCCCGGCATGTGGAGACCTTGTATCTCCCTGCACACGCAAACCTTTTATGAGGTCTGTTTAAATAAAGATGTGAAGGAGGGTTGAACGTTTACCACGGACACAACGTGGCTGATATTCAGGATGATCACCAAAAACCATCTCAAAATGTTATACAGAGGTCTACAACAAACAACATGGAACTCATTGTATGTGAAACAAAAATAGGGGGAAGGGGTAAACCTGGAGGCAGGTCCGTGTATGTTTGTCATTGGATTTTCCTTTCAGAAACGGTATAAAAAAGAAAACGAGTTGTTATTTGATTTTCGTTTAAAATACAAAAATTAAAATTGAAATACAAGGCGTTTTTCTTTCATGGTCAGAAGGATGAGCAAATTAAAAAATTATTCGATTTTCATTTCTATTTCATATAACAAAAAATAAAATCACTAGAAAACAGAAACAGAAAAAGGCCTGTTGTTTTATATTCTGAGACCGGATGTTGTCATTTACAGGACGGTGCTGTGTAGAAGAAACAGTAGGCTAGTAGACTGCGGTCAATCCAGCCGTGAGTCCGATCTCCGTGGTCAAATCAGCCGCACTTAAATTTAGAGGTACAAGTATTCTCAGCATTATGGTAAATGCGGAGAAACAGCGTATTTACTTCTGGTTTTCAAAATAAAGGTATTTAGAACTGTAAGCTATAATTAAAATATGTTACATTAAAGTGTTTAATGCGCCCCTGATGAATAAAAAACACTTTATATCAAGTATCTTTACTGCACCAGTGTGGAGAAATGCCAAAATAAAAGTCTCATATTTATGCCTCCAGAGATTGCATATTTGACCATATTTGAGGTACTGTAAAAACATATTGCTCATTGTTTCCTGGCTACTGATGGTATATTTGACTTTTACACATATGAGACTACAAACATACTTAATATCAAGCATTTTTACTGTACATAAATATGAGACTTTTATTTTCGCATTTCTCCACACTGGTGCAGTAAAGATACTTGATATAAAGTGTTTTTTTATTCATCAGGGGCGCATGAAACACTTTAATGTAACATATTTTAATATAGCTTACAGCTCTAAATACCTTTATTTTGAAAACCGGAAGTAAATACGCTGTTTCTCCGCATTTACCATAATGCTGAGAATACTTGTACACTCTAAATTTAAGTGCGGCTGATTTGACCACGGACATCGGAGTCACGGCTGGATTGACTGCAGTCTACTAGTCTACTGTTTCTTCTCCACAGCACCGTCCTGTAAATGACAACATCCGGTCTCAGAATATGAAACAACAGGCCCTTTTTCTGTTTCTGTTTTCTAGTGATTTTAATTTTTGTTATATGAAATAGAAAATGAAAATCGAATAATTTTTTATTTCGCTCATCCCTTTTGACCATGAAAAGAAAACGCCTTGTATTTCAATTTTAATTTTTGTATTTTAAAACGAAAATCAAATAACCACTCGTTTTCTGTTTTTTAATACCCGTTTCTGAAAGGAAAATCCAATGACCAAAACATACACGGACCGAGGCAGCTAATCTCAGCTAAATTCTGGATTCACAAGAACGCAAACACAAACTCTTGAGTCAAAATCAAAGTAAGATTTCGACAAAATAATCCAGAAATCTCACAGTCCCAAAGTTCGTTTCCAAAAGTAATAAAAAAATCCAAATTATGTTCAGTTCTGTTCGTAGATCAAAAAGTTAAACTGAGTCCAACTCAAGTCAGTCTGTAAATAATAAACAGTCCATTCGGTCCAGAGATCCAGTCCGGGTTCAGTGAACAGCTGACAGCAGAGTGAGGCAGTGTGGTGTGATCTGGAGTGAGGATCGGAGGATGGCTGATTGTGGTGGTAGAAATGAAAAATTAAATGAAGTGATTCAAGATCGACCTTTACTTTGTTTCATCTGCGTCAAACTGAGCGTGAACAAAATCTCTCCTCAAATGACAAACGAAATTGAATTGTGGCGTAAACCCGGAATGAGGTGATAAAATCCAGGTTGTCCCAAAACTACTGGACCCATCAGCCAAATGTTTCTTGTACACATTGATGACTGTACGCTCAGTGACCTCTCGTACTTGCGGTGATTCACAATTTAAAAAAAAAACAATTTTATTAAGTGTTCTGTTTTATACTGACTGCTGACTCCACATTTTGGCCTTTGTCGTGGCTCAAAAACTGACATCCATAGAAAAGTTTGGTCTCATCTTGAACCCAAGCATCTGAAGATTAATTCCATACCCGACATGTTACGATCCACTAAAGTGAAAGTTGAATAAATCCCTGTTTTGTTAACTTTGCCACCATCTTGACTATGAGGAAGTTTTCTCTCTCTGTGGTTTTACTGGAAAACATGTTTCCTCTTATGCACATTTTTCAGTTTTTTAAAAAGCAGGAACATCATACAAGATTTTATATCGTAGCACACTAGACTGAGTGATATGTTGTCATAATAACAAATCAATAAAGACAGACTGACATAAAAGACTCTGCTCGTCCTCCGTGTATCTCTGCTCTTCTTTGAGGTCAATCTAATGTGACAGGAAGTCCCCAGAGTCCTGGTTCCTCTACACCTGGACCGAGACTGACCCGTAGCTGGTTCTGATCAGGCGTGTCGGCTGTGTTTCAGGTGGAGGTGGAGGTTTACAGGAGAGACTCCAAGAAGCTGCCCGGCCTCGGTGACCCAGACATCGACTGGGAGGAGAGCGTCTACCTGAACCTCATCCTGCAGAAGGTAATCAACGCTCACACCGAACACGAGAGCTTTAACTGGAAGCACTGATGTAATAATATCTCACAAACATCTAATATTAGTATCTTCTGAAGGGAAGCTTAAACGTTCTCCGTAAATTGTAATCAGCTCATTTGATTTTGATATTTAATTATGAAAATTATGATTTTTATGTTGTAGATATCAGATCAGAATCAGATGCACAAAAAGCCTTCAACTGTACTTGTTTCAAACACTTAATGCACTATTGAAACACCAGTGTGAAGGATTTAGTGGCATCTAGTGGTGAAGTTGCAGATTACAGCCATCTGAATACCGCTCAGCCTTCCAAGTCTGTAGGAGAAACTACAGTGGCCTGCAAATTAAACCCAAATATTGCAGGTAAAGAAATTGTTGATGAGCGTAAAATATCTATTTTACGCAGATGATCTATTGTTATATCTGTACATCTATACAAAAAAACTGGAATTTTCCTTTGCTTTGCTGCATGTAAAAAAAAAACTGACCAGTTGATGTTATTTTTAGGCCAAACTGCCATTGGAGCAGAATGTATTAGTATTTTGGTGTGATTGTGCAACTAATTAGGCCTTTTTCTGTCTTATTTGGGACACATGGCGGGACACATACAGTGTGTTCACAGATAGATAACTACAGTATGTACTACCTACTTTTTACTACACATTTACTACACAAAGCAGATCAGATCATCAATGCAAAATCAATACTTATATACAGCACATAATAAATAAATCAGGAGATAACAGAGTAGTGAGAGCAAACGTTGTTTCCAAGAATATATCAACAGCAGGGCAGTACAGGATGGTGTAACATTACCTTAAAGGTGTGTACACTATCTGAGTGGATATGTTAGTTAGCTTCCCCAGCTAACGTGATCCATCCCCTGAACGACCACTGGTGGCGCTGTTAACTACAGTTTAATTAAAGTTACTTGTAGAGTAACAAGATAGGATGAGTGTGCAAGCAGCGTCCATACAAGTAAAAATATACAACAAACAACATCTAAAAAACGAGACAGAACAGGTTTGTGATTTGTTTTGCACACTGATGCCCACAATAACCTGAAAACTGTCTTCCAGTTGGACTACGTGGTGACGTGTGCCGTCTGCACACGCTCAGACGCAGGAGATATCCACATCCACAAGAAGAAATGTCAGGTAGGAAAAACCCACAGCTCTGCAGGAGCAGCTCTCACTCTGTCATTACACCAGAGCAGCTCTCCAATTAGCTCGATTCAGGCCTCACTTATCACAGCGGACGTTAACGAAGCTGTTGATCTTTATTCAGTCAGTCTGAGATGTTTTGTCTTCTCCTCCCCTCACAGGAAGTGTTTGCGTCTCCCAGCAAACACGCCATGGACAGCAAAGGAGAGGAGTCCAAGATGAGTTACCCAAACATCTTCTTCATGATTGACAACTTTGAGGAGGTAACTTCTGTCTACTCACTACTACGACTTACATTAACACTACATGAGTCATATTGAAGCCTGTGGAATAAGTTTGCACCGTTTATATAAACAAATGTCACCTCTTCTTCGCACAGTCATAAATCAGGATGTGCAGATATCACACACACAGTGGTGTAAAGTAAATATTTGTTGTTATGCTACTTTCTACTTCCCTACATTTCAGAGGAAAATATTGAACTTTTTACTGCAACTATAGTTACTTTTTACAGATTCAGATTAACACAAAATATAACACCAATAATCGACTAGTAGAGTTGAGAGTAGATTAAGCTACCCAGAGGTATATACACTGATTAAAATGAGCTCCACCATTAGCAGCTACAAATTAGCAATTTTTATGATGTTCCCACCAAACGTAAAGCAAATATTCGCCTCACATTACTCACGTGTGGAAATTTGCCTTTTAATCTGCCTTACAACGGTGGTACGAGCCCAAAATAAACAGAGGTTGCTGTAATTTAATGTCAATAATCGGAAAAGATGCTGAAATAACATGATGGTGATTTGTAAAAAGTCTGAATTCATCTGTGTGCAAGACGACAAGCAAACAACTTTTAAAATGCTTGTGAAGTAGTATCATAAAGCCTCGTTTTATGCACAAATTATTTTCTCATAGTTCAATATTTGCGACATGTGATCTACTCACACAAATAATTGTACTCGAGTTTTAGTGGGAAAACATTTATTATAACATAGTAATTATATTCCATATCTGACAATAGATCCTTATAAACATCCTTTAAGCAAAAGATCTGAATCATTCTTCCAATGCTGTTTTTTCTGCTTGTAAATGTAAAGGAGCCCAGGGATGAAATGATTAAATGTGATTAGTGAATTTGTGAAAAAAATGCTAGAAAAGGTCTTCCCCCTCAGTAATGAAGCCACAACAGCAGCTGATGTGTCCTGATTGGACAGCGGAGCCGGTTGCTGCTGCCGGTCTAATGAAGTGTGACTTGATGCTTTTTCACTCCATTTAAAAACGAGCTCCTGCATTAACACCTCGTTTTATAGGTCGACCGGAGGGAAAAACACCAGATCAAACATTTCTCTCCTGGGAAGAAATCAATGAGGTTTTTTTTTGGTCCTCAGAAGTGAGATAGAAGCTGCTTTCTGTGTGCTCGGCTAAACAACTCAGTGCCAGCTGACACTGCCAACAGTCGCTCTGTTTTCTTTCTGAAGCCAAACGTCCTCGCAAACCGAGAGATGATGGGGGACATTTGGAGCTTTTGGGTTGTTGGGTAAGATAATGAATGCAGACACTGAAGGTCTTTGCAGGTAATGTATTTGTATTATTTGTGTAGGTGTTCAGTGATATGACGGTGGGCGAGGGGGAGATGGTGTGTGTGGAGCTGGTGGCCAGCGACAAGAGCAACACCTTCCAGGGGGTCATCTTCCAGGGCTCGATCCGCTACGAGGCCCTTAAGAAGGTCTACGACAACCGGGTGAGAAGCTAAACGCTAATGCTAAATCATACATCTGAGTTTTTCTTTTTTTAAAAACTAATTTCATTAAATGTATTTTTAACCCTCACGACCAACAGTTTTTACGTGGATCTTTGACAACGTCTGTGCTGTGTGTATCCTGTAGGTGAGTGTTGCTGCTAAGATGGCTCAGCGGATGTCTTTTGGCTTCTACAAGTACAACAACATGGAGTTCGTGAGGATGAAGGGTCCGCAGGGCAAAGGTCACGCGGAGATGGCCGTCAGCAGGGTGCCGACAGGTGACACCTCGCCCTGTGGCACCGAGGAGGACCAGGTGTCACCCATGCACGAGAGGGTGAGTAAAACAAACACACACACATATAAACACCACGTAACCTGGATGCAACAGTGGAAAGTGCAGTTACTGCTTTTAGGTACAATTTTGAGGTAGTTATACTTCCTCTCCACTTAATCACTTAAGTTACCTTGTAGATTCAGATTAATAATATCAGTCATAAGTAATATTATAGGTTAAGATAAAACTTTATTGATACCATAGTGGGAAATTGACAAGCTGTTCAGTAGTAAATAAAGTAATTAAAATAATAAACACATGAATGCATCAATAATAACTATAATCCAATAAAAAAGTATATTATTCTGAAATGGGCCATATGAGTACTTTTACCTTTGGTCCCTATTTGTACATTTTGATGCTAATAGTTTTGTGATTTTACTTAAAATTTGAGTACTTCTTCCACCACTCCCCAGATGTCTGAATTCATTAAGCATCTGACACTAATGAACCTAGAACCTGTTGTACGTATAATACTGTATCGTCTGCATACATTTGAATGTGGCAGATCATCAGTGTATAAGATGAAGAGCAGAGGACCGAGAATACAGCCCTGGGGCACACCATTTGATGTCCATTTTCTTGGTTCTGCTGTACCATGTCTGGTTTATAAAACACAAACTCCTGGAAAACAGTTGCAGGTTAACAGTTTTTATTATTCTAATATTAAAGTTCAAAACTGAGGTCGTATTGAAGGTTCCAGCCTGGTGTTTTTGCCACCTACAGACAACCTGAATCCACAAAGCAGGAACTCCACACTTCCCATTTGTCAGTTTAAAGGTTGAGTTTGTTTTCAAGGCTTCACTTCCTCCTGTGTGTCTGCGGCTTCCCGAGAAACAGAACAAAAAACTCCCAAAAACCTTCAGCTCAGCAGCGCTGAGCCTCACTGAGCTCCATACAAACATATGAAATCAGGTCAGGATCAATAATAAATGCTGCTGGACTGCAATATGCATCATTTAACAGTCTGTCCTCCAGATGTGTCTCAGTTGTCTGACGGATTCTCTGAGGTCAGAATGAAATGAAACTTTTTATCTTACAAAAAGAAAAAAACAACTTCATATTTACCAAAACTGAGAATCAGCTGACGTAGATTTAATGCTGTGAAACCAGCATGAGGACGAAGAGAAAGCTGATCATTTAACAGCTTCTGGAGTAGAGCAACTGTTTTGATAATGGAGTCATCATTTCTGAAGCATTTTATAAATTATAAATTATAAAACAAAACAGCAAAAATGGTAAATATGAAGACGAGATCAGTTTAAAACGGATCGTTCATTCACAGCGTTAATGTCAGTGAACACATTCAGTAAACAGTTCGAACACACGATTATAAAATGAGGAAGTTATGATGGTTGTTGTTGTTATGGACAGCTGAGGAGAAAGGAACCATAAACTATTAGTTGTGTTTTCGGTGCAGGTATTTAAACAACCAAGAACTGGATCCAGAGTGGAGCCGCTCAGACAGTATAAAGTTACATAAAATGGAGATACTGGAGTTAATGTGCTCAGTCCAGCGCTGTGGTCGCTGTATAAAAAAAAACCTAATGTGTGTGAACTGTCCGTCGGCGTCTTCCTCCAGGTGACGTCCTTCAGCACACCTCCGACCCCAGAGAGGAACCGTCCCTCCTTCTTCTCTCCGTCTCTGAGACGCAAAGTTCCCAGAAACAGGATCGCAGAGATGAAGAAGTCTCACTCCGCCAACGACAGCGAGGAGTTCTTCAGGGAGGAGGAAGACGAAGGTACGAACTGGAACACGAACCGGTCGGACTGGTTTACCTGCTGGTGTTTATCTGTCTCTATTTTTAGAACCGAAACTTGATAATTCTTCTGATAATTATTGATGCTGTATTGACAGTCAGACTGTGGACATATGACGGCCTTTAGCTCGTGTTTCTAGAGTTACGTGTTGTTAGGAACACGTTAGGCTGATCAGGTCTGCCTTCTGTCTGCATTAATCTGCTGCTGGAAACAGAAACAATATTAATATATGTTAATATACTCATATTTTATATAGAATATCATTTTGAATGAGGTAGAAGGAGTAGTGTTCCAAGCAGACTGTTTGTGTGTGTCTTAATGCCTGGAGGGGATCTTTATAGATCAATAATCAATAATAATGTGATAATGAACCTGTGTGGTGTTTCAGATCTTCACACCGCCACCAACCTCCGCTCTCGCTCTCTGTCGGGGACCGGCCGCTCTCTGGTCGGCTCCTGGCTCAAACTCAACCGGACCGAGGATTACTTCCTGCTCTACTCCCACCTGACCTACGTCACCCTGCCGCTGCACCGCATCACCGCAGGTCGGAGGTCACACACACACACACACACACGCTTTCTCTCATCTCCTTAAAAAACAAGCCTGCAGCTCTTCCGTTCATCACGATTGATCTGCTTGAAGCTTCAAATGATCCTCCACAGGAAGAAGTTAATTAAATACTGTTTTTGTTTTTGTTCATTCAAACAAAAGATGAGATTTCAGATGAAAGTGAGCTGGATTAGTTAGTTCGATTAACCAGTTAGTTAAACCAGAGTGACGAGTCTTTATTTCTTAGTTCGTTAAGTCGGTAACTTACTGACTTAAAGGTCGTCTACATCAAGAACCGTAACTATATCTCGTTATATCGTTCTATGTGGATGGCCAGAGTGATGAACAGTAACAGTGGGATGAACAATATTGAGGTGTACAACCTATTATATTATAATGCTTATATAACATAATATTTAGTTAAATCACTAATTAAGTAACACACTAATTGTATCGCTGTGGCGAAGCGGAACCACTGTTTGTCGACCTTTTAAAGGGTTAAAATAAGGGTTTTATCTCCACTTCCTGTCATTAGGTGGTAGGTCAGCTCAGTTTATGAGTTATTAAGGTTAAACTACCCTCTGCTCCACACTGTCACACCAAACTCCATTCAAAAAAACACCTGTTTAAAGGGAGTAAAACCTTTATTTCCATCAGTGAGACTCTAACTAACCTGTGATGAAGAGTTGGACACATATCCTCTCCGTGGTTTCATGTTCCTGAACAGACTTTTCTTTTTTCCGTCAGACATCCTGGAGGTGAGGCAGAAGCCCATCCTGATGACATAGCAGAGCCGGACTCCCCCCTCAGAGCATCACTACCAAGTGCCTCCTGCATCAGGCCACTGAGACGACAGCGGCGCCCCCCGGTGTCCGGAACCGAGACCGACAACCAAACACCTGCTCCAGCTGGACGCGAGTCCGTCAGAGGGACAAACAAAAAACCAGCCATTCGAGAAGTGCCTCTTCTTCTTCTTTTCAGTTCCCCCGCTTGTGTCCGAGTGGTCGTCTCCGTGGGAACGGGCCCGGCGTCGGGATCACATGACCTCAGTGTGAGAAGGCATTGGCTGAACTCTGACCAGGAAGTGAAGAATGTGTGCTTTCTTGTAAATATCCTGCTGCTTTACTCACTGAGACGCCTCCGAAGGTTCTGCTTCAACCACACGTTCTGCTCGGCTCGTCGTGGACTTTAGTTCCTGTTTCTTTTTTTTTAGATATTTACTACGACACAAAGAGTTAACAGGAAAATTGGGGTTTTTTTGTACGAGAGGAAACCGTAAACGTAGACAGCTTCACTCTTAACAGCAGCCGGTCAAATCATCTCGTTTATTGAGACATTGACTAACAGGAAGAGGACGACCAGTTCTTTTTATTCACAGACATTTTCATCAATTACTCGTTTTATCTCTGAAATGTCAGAACAAGATTTCTTGTTGATTTAAAAACTGTTCCAGAAGTGCTTCAGTACCAACGAAGAAGAAGCACACGCGAGAACAAACCAGCAGCTACTTCAGTGTTTTGTGATAATCAGCTGATTCTTTGTGCTCAGATTAACTAATGAAAGTCAGTGTTTAATAAACGCTTCACACACAATTAGGTAGAATATTGATTACTTCAAAGGAAGCTGATTGATAATAAACCAAAATAGTAGTAAAAAGCACCATTTTATCCTCATAAATGAACCTTTTCTCACTTTAGTTTCTAATAGTTCGAGCTACAAGTTAAAGTACAAGCAAATATTCAAACTCCAATTGAACTCAAATGATTGATTAGTTCCTGTCAAACGCCTAAATCAGCTGATTGTATCAGTCGTAGCTGGATGTTTATCCACTGATTCAAATAAATAACCACAGCAACAAACAGGAAATAACAAACGGAGCTCGAGAGACGTTATTATTGTTATTCTAGCTCCTCCCGTCTCGTAGAGGGCGGGAAACGCTCAAAGAAAACAACGTTGTGTCTAATCGGAGTCTAGAGCTGCAACAATTAGTCGATGAATCAGATGACCCTTTCTAAGTAAATAAATTAGCAACTATTTTGATAGAATTTTTCTTTAAAAAATGACTTAAAACAATTAATCTGAGATTTCAGCTTCTCAACGTGAATATTTTCTTGTTTCTTTCGTCCTCCGTAAACTGACGAGACATTTGAGGACGTCAGATTGGGCGTCGAGAAACACTGATCGACATTTTTCACCATTTTCTGACCAAATAATTAATTAATGGGGAAAATGATCGACAGATTAGAGATTAATCGTATCCTGTAAAATACGTTTAAAGGAGCTCAAAGAAAGTGAAGTTTGGACTACAGACACAGTTCAGTCCCGACTGCTGAAGTACTGACGACCTTTTCTGTTACAAACTCTGAAAGTTGTTATTTTTTTGTTCGTTTGGTCACTTCGGATGTTTTTGAATTCCAACCCCGAGCCGACGGATCCATCGACTCCATCGTGTCGGATTTTCACCACAAAATAATCCAGCTTTGACTTTTTACTGCGACTCCGAAAACTGGAAGTGACTTGAAAAAAAAAAAACTGCTGAACGTGAAGATGATTTTAAAGGGAATTTAAGAAGAAGCCCCAAAAATAAAAACTGGAACTCTTCATTAAAAAAAGAGGAAGTTCCAAAAGGAAGCGACGTGATTGGCTGAAGATGTTTGTTGTTACAGTGACTCGTCTGGTTTTTCTCCCTCTGTGCTCCTGAAGCCTTAAATCTTTCTGACTGTACGTAACTTTAATGTTTCTTCATGTTCATTTAAACGAACAACCAGCCGAGGCTTCCGTAGGTCAGAGACATCGGAGTTCATGAGGCAGAAATCAGTCGATGTGATCAGAAATAAATGATCAAAAACAAGTTCCCGCAGTCTGTAAAGAGGATTAATCAGCTAATTTCTGTTTTCTTTGCTTGAAAAATATACTTTAATATTAATTTATCTTATTTTATGACTTAATTCTCAAATATAACTAAGAAAACATTTAAAAATTACAGTAAGAATTCAGAATATTGAAGAATAAAATTAATTTTACGTGAAAATGTAAAACTTTTTCATAAAGTCGAACCTAAACTCTAATATTATGAATTCTTTAGATTTTCAAATGTTCAAATAGTAAAAGTGAGGAAAAAAATCACAATTTAAGAATAAAGAATTTTTTAATCTTTGATCATATTTCACCACTTTTGGATACTGAAAATCATCAATTATTAAATATAACCATAAGAAGACGCAGTAAGAATTCAGACTATAAATAAAATAAAATAAAACGTATTTTACGCAAAAATGTAACAAACCTGAATTATAATATAAATGGTTTTGATTTTGATGTTTCAGTAGTAAAATGTATGAAGTTAGTCATAATGACATTAAATTATAAATAATTTTACGAGTAGAAATGTAGAAGAGAAAGCATTAACAATATTAACAAAACCAGAACTTTTACTTGCATAATGACTCATAAAATTTGACTTTTAAATCACAAAATTTTACTTTTTTTCTCAAAATCTGAAGCTTCTTTGGTATTTTTCAATATTCAAGCACCTTGTAAAAGGGTTCTTGAGAAAATAATCTGTAAATTACTTAAATTATTTACTGATTATTGGGGTTGTCGCTGAAATTTGATTCAATTTAAATTGAAAATAAAATAAAATTTCAGAATAAAATGCAGATTATTGTAAATACATTTGACATTTTTAAATTTATGGACCAAGGAAAATAAAACCTCCGTACTCTTTACATAAAGCACAGAACAGTACGAGGGTTGCAACTAATAATTCTATTTATTATTGATTACTCAGATTGATCCAGTTATTGGTTGTTTATATAAATGTCTTAAAGTATTGATCATCAATAATCTGCAGAGGAAACTGTCGCTGATTTCTGTGTTTCACGAGTCGACGTTTGAGGAGAAGTCAGCCAGCTGCTGTTGTTGTTATTGATCAGTTATTATCAGTGATTGATTTGCACTCAGAGACGAAGCCATCCTCGATCAAAGTCAGTCCGCAGTGTTTTTTCCTCCCTGTGAAAGGTTCCACGGGGCACTTCCTGTTTCAGTTGGACGAGCCGATCGTCTCCTCAGTGTTATTGATGATGTAGTTTGTAGTTCCTCCGGCTGAATGTATCCACGCTGATCAATAGCAGACGGCTTTAAACTGAGAAACATTTGAAGAGACAGTTTGCACTGTAAAACGCTTTTAGAACCTTTTTGAAACCGGTTTGTTGGAACCTTTTTGTTCTTACGTCAGTTTAACGCTCATCGTGGCTTTTTGTACACGGACACAGTTAATGTGCATGTTCACTCAAACACTTCTGTTTCAGACTCTACGTACATTTTACTGTATTTATTTATTGAAATACACATTACCAGAAAAACTGACGCCTGTGTTGTTGTTGTTTTTAATTCCTGCATCGTCTTCATCAAACTCCACATTACAGTTCATGACAATACTTAGATATGCTAACAATAGCTAACGTAAGATGTGACTATATACTTTGAATACGTAGTATATCTAAGTACAGGAAAGGAGGACGTTGACGACGCTTGCTCAACTGTGATTGGAGCACAGAGCAAAAAGGGGCGGGACTTCAGAAGGGTTAACATTAAGTAACATTAATATTTATAAGACTAATACAGAGAAGGAAAGCAGATTAGATATAAACCCGAGTCATCTGTAGCTCAGGTCAGCAAAGGTTGACGAAAACTGTAATTACAAGAAAATATAAACAATTCTTCTTTTCTTGTAATTACGACATTAAGCGTCCAATTATCTGTGAATGCAATGAGCTTCCGTACATGTAGACCTACTGTGAGTTATTAGTGTTAAACTTAGATTTAAAACATGAAATACTCTGAGACGTTTAGTTAATTTACTCATTTCTAACCTCAGCAGTGAATCTTTAATCCTAAAAACAAAAAAGGAGCTAAAATTAACAAATGAACTGAGAAGCAGGCGTGGTGGTTTGTTTCCTTTTATTCCCCAATAAATGTCTTTACAAATGTTCTCAGACGATGACAGCATGCCTCATCTCGAAGGCCGAACCGAAGGCCACACAAAGGACACTTGGAAAAACAACAGAGTCCATGTTTACAGAAAATAAAACAACGGGTCAGTCTCACGCTTCCCTCCCCAACACCGACGCTCTTCAGGGGAAACATTCACACCAGGTTCAATCAGTGAGAGCACGAATCCTGCTCACACAATAAATAGTTTCCAGAGCAAGAAAAAAAACAAAAAACATCAGACACACCTCCATCGTTTGAACAATTAACTGACTGCGAGGATTTAATTTGTAAAACCAAATCGACTGGACCTTTATTTTGGAGGTTTCCCCCAAAAAAAGACTGAGCGGCGTCGCACAACAAGGATTCATTCGTCTTTCAGTCACACAACCAAATTAAAACAGTAAAATCAAACACTGGCTGATGAGACACATCGTTCAGGTTCTCTAATAAAACAGCAGCAGCGGCGTCGGACCGGGACGAGGAGGAGGAGGAGGAGGAATGTAGCCAAGACGAAGAGCGACGGCGACCTGCTTCTGAGATTAAAAGTGAAAAGGAAATATTTCACAGTATGACGACCAATTTATTGTGAGCAACTGACGGGGATTTACCAGGAAGTACAGGGGTGTGTGTGTGTGTGTGTGTGTGTGTGTGTGTGTGTGTGTGTGTGTGTGTGTGTGTGTGTGTGTGTGTGTGTGTGTGTAACCGGCGCGGTGAGGTCGATGAGTCCGGAGGATAAAAGAGGAGGAAGAGGAGGATGGGAGGAGGGTTCAGCCTTTCTTCTCCTCCAGGGTCTTGTGGAGCTCGTCGGCGTCCTCGGTGGTTTTGACCCGGATGAGGAGGGGGACGGGGCTGCCGGGGTTCTTGTCGTCGACGGGCGGGTTGGGGACGCACACCACCATCACGTTGTTCTTCCCGACCCGAGTGCACGGCATGGACGACGGCACGATGATGTTCAGCAGGATGTTTCCTAACGGGGGGAGGAGGGGGGGCGAGAGACAGACAGTCAGACAGACAATGAATCAATCAGATACATCTGATCTGATGTTAGCAAATCACAGGCTAACTAGACAGGCAGTGTGTGTGAGACAGGCAGTGTGTGTGTGGGACAGACGCACGTGGGAGGTGTGTGTGAGACAGAGGCAGCGTGTGTGAGAGACAGAGGCAGGGTGTGTGAGACAGACGCAGGGTGTGTGAGACAGAGGCAGGGTGTGTGAGACAGAGGCAGGGTGTGTGAGACAGAGGCAGCGTGTGTGTGTGAGACAGACGCAGGGTGTGTGAGACAGACGCAGGGTGTGTGAGACAGATATATAAATATAACTGTCAGTTTCAGGATATTTGGTCATTTCAATAAATTTCCAGGCGTTTCCATGACTACTCTCTAGTTTCCAGGTTTTCCAGGATGTGTGGGAACAACACAAAGATACAGTCGATACCTCCGAGCACCTCCTGTCTCTCTCTCTCATTGATTTGATATAAATTAAGACGGGATCAACCTGAGCAGGAGCGGCGTTACCACGGCAACCTCACAGGCTGCCACGTTATCATTAATAGCTGCTCCTCCAGCCTGTGGACAGTCGCTCTGAGCGACCAGCAGGTGGAGCCGTTGGATCAGCGTCACTCTCTGTACTGTGGAGCAGCAACTGTCTGTATTCTATCACCTGCTGACATTTTAAAGCTAACAGAGGTTTTCTTCGGGGCGTCAGACACCTGAAGACGTCGTTTTCTGACATTTTAAAGACCGCAGAATGGACGACACTCTTGGTTTCTTGGTTAATTGATAGATAAACATATAGAACTTCTTTTCTGCCAGTCATTATAAGTTTGAACCCTTATGAACTGAGGGTTTTTATTATGTCAGGTTTTAGGGGTACCGCTTTATTATTTGAGGGGTATTTTGGCAGGCGGAGGTCAGTTCCTAGAGCAGATTGTTTAGAGACGCTGTGGATTCTGTGTCTTCCTCCTCACTGGATATAAAATGAGAATAAATGCTTTTACCCAGATTGGTGTCGGCGCGAATGATCATCTGAGTCTTTCCGTCGTCCGTCTGTTTGAGGTGCAGAGTTCCCACTCCTTTCTCTTTGAACTCAGAGTCCTTCTTGTAGAACAGTTTACACCTGACAGACAACAGCAGACAGTAAAGGGTTAAAACTAATAAATCATGTGTTCATATTAAAATATTCTACAAACAAACTGCAGCTTCAGAGTGGAGAGATCTGATTACATTATATACAGTTATTGAATGGAGTGTGGTTGAAAGAGTACAATGTTATTCTGTTACATTCACATAGAAACACTCACTGCAGTTTATTTAAATCATCCCAAAGGACAGAAACCCGAGGAGTCAATACCAATAATTTAACCAATTTATTCAACATAAAATCTTCTGATTTGCATTTTTATTATGAAAAAGTGTCTTCAGTGACTCAATTTTGTGCCAACTGGGTCAAATGTGTCAACAACAAGCACAAAGAGGCGTTAGAGTCAATGAGTGCTGTAAACTGTCAAATGGCTCCAATTTTATAATACAGAAACTAAAACCAACACTGACACCAATAAAAACTCATTAAAAATAATAGAAATTAAAGTTTTAAAAGATGATTTCACCGTGTTGCCTCTAATATATATATATATATATATATATATATATATATATATATATATATATATATATATAAATAAATAAACAGACAGTCAGACGTACTTCTTTGAGTAGAAGGCGTCGTCCTCTTTCACCTCTTTGATCTCCGGTTTGGGCGGCTCATCCGACTCCTCGTCTCCGTTCTCGTCTACACAAACACAACAAACAGTTTTAATTCACGTTTTTTTCATTATTTGAAACCGTTCTTAATCTCAATACACACACACACACACACACACACACACACACACACAACACACACACACACACACACACACACACACTGAAGCGATTAGATCTACGCTCATTAATAATAATTAATAAAGCCATCGGCAGCTGTTCAGGGGGTTTAACTCTCACACACGGTCTATGAGACTACTGGAAAGATAGAAAGACGAGTTTTGTGATTTTCAGCCCAACGGTTGATGATTCATGTCCATGTACGCACTGAGCCACGCCCCCTCTGAAGCTCATTGGTCAATATCTTGATAACTGAATAAAGATATTAACAGGTATTACACAACTATTGATCAGCTCCGTCCTGTGTTCGTCCACAGAAGGTTTGGTAGCGATCGGACCGACGGTTCAGGAGGAGACGGCAAAAATGTGGTTGTCAAAAAATTCAAAATGGTGGAAAATGTTGTCAGACGGACTTTAGAGCACGTTGATCTGAAGTCAGAGTGACAGCGTGAGGGGGCGTGGCCTTCCTACAACTGGATTTATGGCCGCCACTATCTGGATGATGTGGCTCATATTTCTTGGGACACACACAGACACAGACAGACACAGACAGACACACACAGACACACACAGACACAACACACACACACACACACACACACACACACACGGAAAAGGGAATCTCTGTTCAACCAGAGTACATTTAAAAAACACGAGGTTTTAGCTGATTAATCGATAGCTGATTGATCAATAGCTGATCAACAGACCGTAAACTGAATATCTTCGGTATCTGTTCGGTTGTGTCGGCATTTTAAACTTTACTCTGATATTTTAAAGACTAAACGATGAATTTAATTGTTGTTTGCAGCCATATTTTATATAGTTATTATCTATAACACAGATTATTGTTTCCTGCTGATTACAAACAATTGATTACATTATTGTGAATTTATTTGGGTTTTATTTTCCCTTTTTTCCCTTCAGGGTTTTCTTGTTTCCTCGTCTTTAACATGCCAGTATTTATTATTTTATTATAATTGTGACAAATATTCAGTGTAAGTAATAATGAATAAGTCAACATGTAAGAATTCATTACAAACTGTTTATAACTGAAAATATCAGGAATCAGTTTGTCAGGTTTTACCCGATGAAACTGAAACCCGCTGAGATCTGATTTATTGCTTCCAACTGCAGAGATTTCCTGATTTTCCTCGGCTTTATATCAAAATAAATAGAATCACATTTGACTGCATTTGGTGATTATTTTAATTATCTGATTATTATTATTCTTATTATTCTTATTATTATCCGATTAATGAAGCAGTGAAAACTTTCCGGGGCTCACAGAGATTCATTTACTATCTGAGTTAGAGAAACAGGCAGCAAATCCTCAAATAATCAGCAAATATTTGACCAAAGAGATTCCACGATGATCACATTTCTCTACAGTATTCGGCAGATTAATTGCTAATGAGAATAATAATCAGCTGGAGCTTTAAATGTGACAGTGGCTGCAGACAGACTCTCTCTCTCTCTCAGTTTAAGGACATAAAGATGTTCCTGGCGGCGTACCTGCAGGCCGAGAGTCGTCGGGCTTCGTCCCGCTGAAGGACATCGGTGCAGCGGATCCAGGAGCTCCGAACAGGGAGGTCTGGCTGGAGGAGAAGGAGAAGCTGGGGGGAGTCGTTTTGGACCCTAAGGAGCCAAGAACCGAGCTGTCCACCTTCTGACCGAAGTTAAACGAGACGCCGATGGGAGTGGCGCTGCTTTTGTCCCGGCCCGGGTCTTCTGTCGTATTTTTGCCAAAGGAGAACAAATTGGCGGCTGGAGCCGGAGCCGCTGAGCTGCTGCTGCTGCTGGAGGAAGATGAGGGAGGAGGAGGAGGGGTGGCTGTGGTTGGCAGCATCCCTCCCTGCTTCTTCTCCTCGGAGCCTCCGTCAGCGGAGCCGGCTCCGTACTGCCGCTCGATGCTGGCCAGGTGCCGCTCATAATCCTTGAAGATGGGGTTGAGGTCGCACAGAGGGTTGTCGTTCACGTGCTTGGTGATCCAGTCCCGCACCGAGCAGTTGAGAGCGGTGAGCTGCCGGCTGTACTCCTTGTTGCTGCCGCCGCTGCTGCCGGTGCTCGAGCTTTGAGTCGGGCTCGGGGCGGAGCCATTGGTCTGCTTGGCCGTGACGTCGGTGGTGGGCTTGGAGGAGGCGGGGCCGTTGAACGTCAGACCTGAGATAGTGAAGGGAGAAACTGTTAGTGTGACAGCAGCTGGATGAGGAGAGTGTCCCCTCCCCCCCTCCCATCCTGCCCTGCAGCAACGAGACGACATGAAGTGAGAGAGCAGCCAGACACAAACACCCCCCCCCGGATTCAGCTCCATTACACTCCACTACCAAACCAAACCCTCCACAACGGAGCAGCTTCCAACCCCATTACACACCGACAGTCGACTGAAACCAGAGGATGATTTCATAAGAGCACCGCCCTTTATACCAGTTAGATTCAAGTGATCTAAAATCAGGTCACACTGCAGAGTGCTTATATATATATATATATATATATATATATATATAAAATATAAAAATTAACTGCCACTAGGTGTCGCACTAGAGCACCAGCAGAGCAAGACAATGGACCATCACACTCTATTAACAACAACACTGATTTTACAAAAAGATGAAAAACACAAACATCAAACTGCAGAATAAACTCCCCTCATACTGTACATTATTATTATTATTATTATTATTATTATTATTATACAGATATTGTGATAGGATTTATGATTAATTTTTATTAAACATTTTATTCCATCACAATTCAGATCATGAGGTCACATTTGTTGTTGTTCCAAACAAACATATTTTCTTACATTTAGAGAACTACAGTACTTCATTATAATGTCACGTCTTTCCTTTATAAACCCCCACAGCTGTCTGTGTGTCTTTCCTTTGACTTAAACACCTTCAGCAGCAGCAGAAAGCATCAGTGGAGCTTTAAAATGAGAGAGATGTGCACATGTGGCACAGCAGCAGCTTCATGAACACACCGACCAGAGGATAATGTCAGTAAGTTAGAATAAAACACAGTTTATCTCGTGTGAATACGCAGCATGAAGCACACAAAGCTCTCTCTGGCTTCATGTCACAACCCAGCAGCACAAACTCCACAGAAAGCCTCTGGTGACGAATACCAACGTTCATATTGTTAATGATCAGCCAATAATCAGCCAATAATCAGTACATTCACATGGAGACAGTCCTCACCGGGTGTAGCAGTGGTTGCAGAAGGAGAAGAGAAACCTCCGAAGGATGGAGCGATGCTGTTTCCGTTGGTCAGACTGCTGAGGCCTTTAAAGCCGCCGCCGTTCCCAAAACCAGAAAACGCCGTCGGGGTCGAACCTCCACTCGCCGCTGTCCCGCTTAAAGAAAATCCTTTAAAACCTTTGAAGGATCCGCTGCTCTCGCCCTGAAACCAACAAAACTCTGAGTTCACTCCTGCTACAACAAACCTTCATGGACACTAAATAATAATAAATGAAATATTTAATTCACATTAAACTGTAATAAAGTTGAATTAGACGTTTGTGGTTTTACCTCTGCTCCGATATTTCTGCGTTTGGCCTTCTTTATCGCCCGGTTCTTCAACACATCTTCACTTGCTACTGAGAAGGTCCCGGCCTGGAGGAGTCACAGGTTAACACATCACTGCACACATCTGGATCTCTCCTTCGCTTACTTTATACTCCAGCATTGGTTGAGATCGACTTTTCTGCTCGACAGTCGAGTTTCAACAAAAACTAACCAGAGTTTCAAAATAAAAGCTGTAAACTGGGGGACATATGTGAGTTTGGAGATGAAAACAACAACCGAGAGTTGATGTTTAAAAAGGTCAGATAAATACAAATACTGTTCGATCATGGCCAAAATACTCAATCGTTCAATATTGAGATTATTGATTGATTTTAAAAAGGACAAACTCTTTGTATAGCACTATAGACTTTAAATAAACAGAACAGCTTTCACTTGAGTGTCGTGCTACATTCCTGCTAACGTAGAAATCTTTGCATCAACATAAGACAGCTCCTCATTCAGAGGTCAGCTGTCTCTGAATACGATTTCTTCTTGCTGAACACTTCCAAACAACGGTGGTTATCCGTTCGTCCTCGTGCTGCAGACGTGAGTTGTATTTTATTCCTCGACTCTGAAACACCTCCATCACCCGGCTGTTGGTTCAGGAAGCCTCTTTATTTAATATGCAGCGAACGTATTGAACATAAATATCGCAGCATAATGTTCACGAAGCCAAAAACATGATTAATATTTGATTAAGTGTGCAGACCTAACACAGTATTAAAGTTCCATCAGTGTTATCTTTAAAGAGCCCCGTCCGTCCACTGGGGAGACTCACCTCCTCTCCCTCCTCCTCCTGATCCCAGTTCCTGTCCGTTAGCTCTTTATCAGCGATCCTCTTCGCCATCCCACCTGCTCTGTAACGAAGAGCAACGAGGATTAAAACAATAACACAATATGTAAAAGTTGAGTTCAGGAGAATACTGTACGTTTGACCTCCCGACAGGAAATAAGAAATCTGCTGCACCCTGATAAATAATAATCTGACAGGTTCTGAATACTTTCTCCCTTCATACGACACAAAGTGTACGATTACAGCTGAAATTAAACTCTTTAATCAGGAGGTCTGAACAATCACAGCGCTAATAAAACAATGGTTGAGTGTCAGTGAGAAGAAAACAGAAGCCCATTAAGTCTTTATGATTGTTAATAATTATATATTAATATCAGGAAAACTCAGTTTTATCAGCGGTCAGTGTTTGTGTTGAGTATAATATGAAATATGAATTAAATAAGGCAGACAGTCAGAGGTCATTGGTTTACACAATGAGGGGTTGATTGATTTAATTAAAACATTAATTAATTGTTTTATCATCAGAAAATACAATAAAAAGTCAAATAAACTAGAATAAAGTCCCCCCCCCAGTTCAGTGTCTGTGTGTGGTCAGTGTGAGCCAACCTCACTCAAACACCTTCTTCCAGTCATCGATATATCGATCCGATCAGCCGATACTGAAACCGGTGGAACTAAAGTTAGCCAACAGTTAGCTCCTCCTAACGAGGCTAACAAGCAGCGAGGATGCTAACTAACACTTCAGTCTCATTAACAGTTAATCGGCTGAAATAATTAAATAATTAACTGTTAAGTGAGCAGGCTCTGAGAAGACTCCTAATAAATCCTCCTGCGGCCGTTAGCCGGCGAGCTAACGGGGCCGCACACATTAGCAGCTAGCAGCTAACAGCTAACAGCTAACGTCATGTTAAACACCGCTGTGGAGCTAACGTTAGCTGCTAGCTGCTAACGTTAGCTCCTCTTTCAGGCTCGTTTTAATCCATTTAAAGTCCACGAACCTTTTTTATTCGGGACTGTGAATTCCGACCTGAACCTGTGGATGGGTCTCGGGCAGCCGCAGGTACCGCTCACCGGCTCACAGGTGTTAGCTAACCGCCGTCACAGGTAAAAAACAAACCGCTGTGTTTTGAACGAGCCTCTCTCACGCCGCCATTTTACATAGCGGTACATCCGCATGGGTTCGCGCGCCCCACCTTTCTGCACATGCGCAGCAGGCACAGCGTTCCCTACACCGTGGGAGTTGTAGTCCAGAACAACACGTAGAACTACAATAATCCAATATATTTCTATTAGTTTAGTTTTTTTTATATTTATCGAGGAACCAACGGGATTAATAAATCATTATACAACATAAGGCTGTATAAATATAAATATAAATATAAATATAAATATAAAGGTTTGTAGTTCATTTAGAAAAAAGATACATATCAGATAAATAAAATAAAACAATATATACAGTTATTTATATACATATATACCTACACGTATACACACAGGAATCATTAATCAATTTTTATTTTGTTTTTTAAAAGTAGCATAAATGTAATTCGACAACCTTGAGTTGTAAATTACAGTAAAATAACCTTCGATCCTTGAATCCTGGGTGTATACCTTCTATATACTGTCAGTGGTTTATACCATGTGTGACCCTGTTGTGCATAAATCAGAATCTACATTACTATAATATTACGTCCTGTGAGTTAAATGTGCACTTAAATAAATGGAAAACCTCAAGAAACTGACTTTGTCTTCCCTGTGTTATAAATAAAGTTGGTTTAAAGGCAGCGTATTGAAGCACAGTCTGGTTGTCCTCGGTGCCGCCAAATCAACCAAATGTCACATCTCTAAAGTTCATGAACCAGAAATCAGCGTTTGCTTCTTCGTATTTACGTATTTCTGAGTGCAGCATCTGATTGTATTACTTTATTAATCCCACAACGGGGAAAAGTCCTTGTCACAGCAGCAATTACTTAATAAATAAATACAGATATAAAAAACTATGATAAAAACTAAACTATGGTATGTTGGTAATTTGAGTACCTCGGGGCTAAGTGAGCTAACTAGCTGACTAATGAGTCTTCTGGTTCATTTCATCTGGTTGAAATTTACAGGAAGACACAATGATTTGATTTTAATATAAAAATACAAAGAAACTGAGTTCCTCAGAAGTTAAAACATTAGTTGTAAGTTAAACAAAGACTGTTACAGTGAGACAACAGAAATAAGCCGCTGTTGCTACGTGAAGGTCAGAATAACTTTCAGAAATTACAGTTATCAGTCACTCGGCCTGCATGAGGCATCTGCGCCCCGCTACACGTGTCCTTCTCTGGTTTAACCTGCGCAGCCTTTCCCTTCAGCTACATGGTGGGTTTGGGATTTGCCAGCCAAATGCATTCCAGCTTTCACTCCATCGTTCAGCGGCGCTGTGTGTTTCAGAGCTGGAGGAAGGGAAAAAAACCGGGTTGCATGCAGAGACTCGAGGGATCGGGGGGTAAAATGGTGCAGAGCTGGGCAGCAGATGGCTCGTCTCCAAGCTTTCAGGATCCCGGTCGGCTTTGCCAAATAGGAACAGGTGCTGGAGAAAGTAGGAAGTGAGCTGTGGGCCCTAGCGGCAGCAGGAGACCCTTGACCAGCTGGCGAGGAGAAAATGGAAAGACTTGGCAGTAGAAAAAAGAGGAAACCTGTATAATGTAGAAGGAACAAGGCGGCCAACATGTGAGGCTGAGAGAGGCAGGGGCTCTTTAAAGCCGAACACATCTCTCTGACTGATGGGAGCTTCTTCTAAAAGCTGCTATCAAATCCAGCATTTTATTCTGAAATACTACAAAGAGTTCACAGTGAGTTCATTCTGAATGAATTAAAGGTTCAATGTGTAAGATTCTGATTGTTATTAATCACCTTTTAGTTCAAATAAGTGAACAGGTTGAAAGAAATTAGACAGACAGACACACATAGCTCATGAATGGAGTCGGCTAACATCTACCAGTCCAACACAAAGCTTGTGGAATATCCCAAAATACTGAGACAGCTGGCCTCAACTAAAAGACTAATCCTCATATTTTGTAGCTCCACTGAACAGTTTGAAGACGTCACCTGAGGCTCTGAGAAACATTTTATAGACTACCAATGAATCAGTTAATATCTAAATCTAGAAATCAGTATCTATAAATATTAATGGGTCTCCCCCGACGACGGATATTTGTTTGATTCCTGAGATGAGTTTTTGTTCCGTCCCCTTCAGAAGCTGCTGGTTTAATAGAAGCAGCTCCGTCCTGCTGTGCAGATGAATTACAGTGTGTTGATAAGAAGGAGGCCCCCCCGACTCAGCAGGAGGCCACTGAAGCCTGAAGCAGCCGGAGGAGCTCAGAGCGAGTTGGTCCGGTCGGTTCGTATCGGACCATCAAAGCCGGCGTCTCTCCTGAGGGAGCTGATAAACTATTGATCAGCAGCCGGGAAGAGATGTTGAACATCAGCGATTAATGCAAATGAGGCGAGGGAACGCCAAAGCACCACAACACAGACAACCACAGACAACTACAGACAACTACAGACAATTACAGACAACCATAGACAACTACAGACAATTACAGACAACCATAGACAACTACAGACAACTACAGACAATTACAGACAACCACAGACAACTACAGACAATTACAGACAACCATAGACAACTACAGACAACTACAGACAACCACAGACAACCACAGACAACTACAGACAACTAAAGACAATACAGACAACTACAGACAACCACAAACAACCACAGACAACCACAACAACCACAGACAACCACAAACACCCACAGACAATTACAGACAATTACAGACAACCACAAACAACCACAGACAACCACAGACAACCACAGACAACCACAGACAACCACAGTCTACAGGATCTTCGTATTAATTCATTTATTCATTCTATTATCATCCATTCATCTTATTTATTCATTTCGTACATTTATTCATTTATTCACTCACTTGTTGTTTATTTATTCATCTATTAGAATCAATATATCAATTAATTCATCCATTCATCTTATTTATTTAGTTTATTATTTAGTTATTAGTTAATTCACTCATTCTTAAGTTAATCTGTTATTTGTTGGTTCACTCATTCACATATTCAGTTAATAAAGTTAACTATTCATATTCATCCATTCACCTGCCAAATCACTTACTTTTACCTGTTAGTTAAGTAATGTATTTATTCACTTATTCATCCAGTCATCAGTTAATCCATTAATCAAGCCTTCCATGAGTTCATTCACTGATTCATTCGTTAATCAATCCACCTGTTCATTAATCGATTTATTCATTCTCTCATTCAGTTGTCTAACTTATTTATTTATTTACAATAGGGACTGAATGAATGAACTGATTAATCATGATTTCACTTTATCTTTTCTGCATAAAATCATTTATTAATTATTGGTGATTATTGATTAGGTTGTAAAATGAAGGTTAAATAAAGCTGAAACTTAAATCCTCTGTTTTCTGAATGGAGTTTGGTGGAACAGTCAGAACCTCTGTTAATAATCTCATCTGGTTGCAGATCTGCCTCCAGATTCCTTCTAATTAATTATTATATTTGATTATATCGTTAAGATCTCGCCATCATTTTATTTCATGCATGTAATATTTCATGCATCTCGTCTCTAATTGGCCGTTCAGCAGACAGATCTACGTGTCAATTAGGCTTTTGCAAATGGAGCTATAATTAGGTTGAATTAATTGACTGGCTGTGTGGACGGCAATTAGCAGTGACAAATTAAAAGGAAGCAGAACTGATGTTCTTAATGATCCAAAATGTTGTATCCATTAAAAAAAAAAAAAAGAAGGTGAGACAAATCTCAATCCTCTGTTTTAAAGCACAAAGATGAGATTTTCTGCTGTTAAAAGGCTGAAATTTCAAATGGAGTTCTGTGTGGAGGGAAACAAGCTAATGCCTTCTAGTGGCTGAGAGTGGTACTAAAGGGGATAACAGACAAACCTTCCTCCTATCAGTTTATGTTCCTCTCTCTTCTGTTCAGATTCAGCCTCCAATAATACTAATATAGATATAATATATAATACAATAAGAGTCACTGTACCTTCCTGTATTTTCACTTTTCATTAAAGGAAAACAGCAAAAGTGTAAATTTTAAAGTGTTTTCAAACATAAAAATGAGAAAGTTAAGTAAAACTAGAGTTTTTATGGTCTTATTTATCTTTATATTCAAATATATATTGAATATTATTATATATATTCAAATAAATATCTATTGAATAAAACTACAACACTAACATACGTACATTAAAATGATTAATTGGTGGCTATAATCGATCAATAATACATAAATATATTTACTTAGTTATTCTTTAAAGTAACTAAAATCTGTACATTGTCATTAAAATGATTCACTATATTCAGATCTTATTTATTCCATATTATTCACTTACTCATTCATTAATTTCATGTATTCATCAATTAATTTCTTCAGTCACTTGATTGTTTTATTCATTCATTCATTTTTTTAAATTAATTTATTTACACATCCAGACGTTTATCTTATTTATCTATTCTATACATTAATCCATTCATTCATTCACTCACTCATTAAGATATTCATGTATTCACTCATTTGTTTTTTGTTTGTATCTATATATTAACTCATTCATTCATTCATTCATTCAGCTCAGCCTCAATAATTGTATGTGAGCTTCATGCTCAGTTGTTTAGTAGCTAAGCTAATTGTTTCCTAGGTAACCTTTTCTTAGTTTTGGAACTTTATTTATTTATTTTACACACAGATATGATGAAAATGATGAATATGATGAATATGATTCGTTTTCAAGTTTATAGACGCAGCAAAAGCAGATTTTATGGAATAAATACAAGAACCAGGACAGACACAAACTGTATGGAAAATAAAATAAATACATAAAAAACCTGCTGAGGAATCCGATTATTAAACAGGTCAAATTATTATAAAGAAGATGTAATATATAAAGCTTTCTTGTGGTTCTTTCTTTTCATCCTTTTATTCTTCTTCTTCTCTCAGAGGAAACTGGAGGATTTAGAGTCACAATGATAAAATCAGACGGTGTGTCTGTATCAAATAGTTTTTTCGGGAGGTAAAGTGGTTTTACATCCCTCTGGGGTCGGAGGTCGTGTTTGTGATTTGTCTCATTCCTG